TCCATTCTCAGTGGATGTGCACTTCGCAAAAAAGTGTGACTGGTGACTTCCCCCTCCCTGTGATAATTCTGAAAATGTATGAAAAAATCCAACATAATCACCTGTGAGAGTGCCCTGCTCCACTTGGCCTTCCACACCTGCTCCTTTACACTTCTGGACGAAACCTTTCTGCCTGAGCTTCTCCAGCTTCCTCATGGGCGACTGGTCAATCACCTCATACACGGCCTCCAGCCTCACAGGGTAGGGGTACCTCTCCTCCACCTGCAGGGTCTTCTTCAGCAGCACCATCCCAAATTTACCTGCAGGTCACCACATCACTGATCAGATTTGGATACTAACAATGTGAGGTATTCTGTCATGTTTTCACCCAGATGGGAAGTGTGAGGTGTGTGCTACCCCTATATGAGCTCGGGTTGGTCTCCACTATAGCAAACATTCAGACATGGTTCTTGTTGAATTACAAGATAATTTCCCCAAATACAAATTAAAACATGCACAAACTATAGTCCCAGTGCCACCACCTCCCCCTTACCTTTCTCCAGTTTGAGGAAGCTCATGAGTCTGGGTATGAGTGCCGTGTCCAGCGGCTCCTCCATCACCTTCCCCTCGGTGGTGATCCTCCTCACCTTGCCCCCCATCTCTCCCTCCTGATGAAACATGACAATCTGGTGCACGTGTCGCTCGGCGAGCTCACAGTACACATCTGGTTTCAGGAGAGACATCATCAGCCTGTAGTAGCCGTCAGAATCATGAGGCGCTGAGATCACCAGGACGCGGTTCTTCCCTGCGAAACTGGCCAGCAGATTTGGTGACCCGGCGTTGCTGGGCATTCGGATGACCCTGGCTCTGGCTCCTGGGGCGCCGTCATCTTGCAGCATCTCCGGCTGACGGGGCAAGCCAATCTGTCCGACCGCCCCTCTCCTTGGCACTAGACCCCGACGTTCTGCTCGCTTGCCGGACGCTGGAACATCCTCGTCCGCCTGCACATCTCCCCGCTTCCTGGAGCCGTGCACCGAGATTGCCGCAGCAAACCCGGGGCGCACACGCTCGACGAGGCGCTCTTTGTCCGTTGCGCCCAACTGCGCACGTCCCTGCTTTGTGCGTCTGTGCAAACGCACCCGCTTAAGGTGAGTCTGTTTGTCGGCTTCACCTGTCCAGGTTAGCAGATATATCAGAGCTAAACTGAGCACACACGCCCTCCGCATTCTGGCGAGATGTCAGATAAAGTAGGCTAAACACTCACTGAGGGGAAGATACTGATCCAGTGGTGGAGCCGCGATCCTGGCGCGTCTTTAGCGCATTTGAGGTTGTTAATCAATTAATTCCAGATGAAGACATACAGCGTGCAGGCTCGGCACACAACAGTCAGACAGAGATCTGTTTCAGAGCATGCCCTCTGCCGAGGAGATACACTTCACTGTCTGTTCTTTATTTGTCAGACAAGGAAAATTTCTGTGCATAAATAGTTACATCCACAACTTCATCACAGCAACACTTCCGTTTTTAAGTATAATCCCAGGAGATCAGACCCTCTCTGTTATACAGACATCCAAAACTGTGAGATAAATACTCAGCCACCAGTGAAAGTATTTCGGCGAAAAGTCTTCTCCAAAGTACGCTCACTCTTAGGTTTACATCCTAAAAACTGACCCTACAAACACATAATCCTCGGGCATTATTTATTTCCAGCAAACTGAGAGGGGATCTTGTGGGCGCAGGACGCAGGAATCTCCGAGAAAATGAAAAGAAACATGAGTCTGTACAGGAAAATGCGGCTGTCCTTCTTCCCAGGTCCTCCTTGGCAAAACAGAGCTTTGGAGGCTTTCCCAGAAATGTCCACACAAACCTCAGCCTCCGGATTCTAGGCTACGCAATGGCAGAAGGACCTGCCCCGGGACTCTCGATTGCCAGTTCAGTCTGCACCAAAGTTTCTGTCCCCCGCGCTGGGGTGGGTTTAGGTTTCACTGAAGCACAACACATGAGGTAGCTGACTAAATATGTCAGAAAAGTTGGACACGTTGCCCCCCTGCTGGACAGGATTACCAGGAAGAGAAATAATCAGACTCAGTGTCAAGTTCCTCCTTTAAAGCCAATAGAGAAACGCCCCCAAATCCCATCTCTTCCTTGTCGAGCATTATTTTCTCCAAGTGGGCCGTTTTTTCCCCATCCACCCCCAGAAGGCTGCTCCTTGTCCAGAAACAGATGATTTAGAAGGAAACACAGTGCTGGTGTATATTTAAACTGAGAGTCTGACCATCCATGTACTGTCTTCAGTGTTTACAGTGAGGAAGAGCAAAAATGAATGTTGTCTTTGCATGTTTATCGCCAAAATAATATAATTGCAGTGACCCTCTTTGCTCTTTAATGGTAGCTCTTTCAGCCCAAATCAGACTCTTTCCATTTGCTCAAGAAAGTTTCCCAGTTTAGCTTGTAATTTAGGCCTAAGTAAAGAAAAGTAAACCACTAGGTCTGAGCCACATCCACTCTCACTGCAAAGAAAAAAAACACTATATAGCATGTGCCACCGCCACAGCAAGCTGTATGGCTACTAGTTTATTTCAAACAGAGTACATTCACCACCTATCTCTACCGGCACTAAATATATATAATACAATAACCATCTTATATTTTATATTTTATCACCTGTCTCAAATGTTTTCCCAGTGTGCTGCAAGTGGCATTTTTCAGAAAATGCAAAACTGGATTTTAAAGCTTCTAGGAATAATACACCTTCCTGGCCAGACATTCAGTGAAGTGATTCTAAAATGAATGCTAAAACAATTAAAAGTCTCCAAGAGTTCTGTGAACCAGCTTTATCAATGGTGGACTCTGTTAGCAAAGGGCACTTTATCATGTTTTCTCCACTGAAAGGGCACGAAAGAGGGCACTTAATCACGTTTTGTCCACTTGAAAGGCACCTACAGTAAGAGGGCACTATCGTGTTTTATCTACCATAGGGCATCCGAGAGGGCACTTAAGAGCGATCGCTCTACCCAAGAATCCACCAGTGAGCTCCATCCCCTTCCAGTCTACCTCAGCCTAAATACCTTACATTACAAACTGATCACCACTTGACCACAACAAGAGGATGCCGGCTGTTTATTTACACTATCACACTGGGAGTTGACAGCTACAGGCTACTGGATTGTGTCAAGAAAAAACAATGATCAGAGTCACATGCAGCGTCCACAGACAGTGAATGAATAGATATCTTTTGGATAATAAGAGCAGCAAAAGGGCCTCAAGCATCCTGTGTTCCTCCCGATGTCAGCAGATATTAACAGCTGCAGGACAGAGCGTTATTGACTGTCTAAAAGTCATGTGCAATGGCCAAGATGGGCTTGTATATGCTCAGTATGTCTCTCTATGGTACCTTGTTGTGTTGTCAGCATCACACAGTCCAATTCTAGAGTCTTCAGAGGTCTTTACAATTTACTCTATAATTACATTCTCTGCCCACTACACAGACTGTTTACTTCACTCTGAATGAGCCAGAGTGCAAATCATTCCCGGGACTGCCAGATGAACCATGTATTTTACTTCCATAAGACCTTTATTACATTCAGACAAACCAGTAAAGTCACAAAAGTGGCGGCCTGCATTCATATGCAAGCACACATACATGAGGGAATGAGGGAAGCAGATGCTTAAAAGCTTTAAGATGCACTTAAAACATATGCTGCACATGGTGATGACACGTGCAACTGACACACTGACCCCAACATCAAGCATCCAGCTGATCTGAGAAATTATACATATTCATTTTTCTGAAGTTTCTGAAGTTTACAGCATGATTTCTTTTACTACACAGGACACAGGACACAGGACACACACTGTATATCAGGTCAGTATCTCAGCTGGATTAAATCAAGAGATAATGCAAATAGTGGTGAGCCCACTCCAGGAAGATCTTGGGAAACAAACAACACTATCTTTGGGAAAACAGTTTGTTGTCTCTGTTATGTTTAACTGATGGTAGCTTTTTAAAACAACAGTTTGACATCTATCACTTAGTCTTGTGTCATTTTCCTTTTCCTGTTTTACCCTTGAAGTGCCCCACAACTACAAAACACTGCTACAGTGTGCTATTTGAATGCTGTCTGTGTTTGACACTAGAAGGATGT